GGTTTGTGGGTGTTGGGGGGGTGTATGGGGGTATTTGGGGTTGGCATGGGGGTGTTCGTGGGGTTATTAGGGGTTTTATTTTTTTTATTTTTTTTTGCGGGGTGCTGACGACCCCCGAACAGTAGGTGCCGACCAGCCGACCGGTTGGCGGGTCGGCAGCCGACCAGTCAAGGGTCACCGACGGTCGGGGTGTGCAACACTGCCGGAAAGGAAAAAAAATGCACGGCCCCGGAAAGAAAAAAAATTGAACGGCCCATTTGTTAATTTTGGCTGCACAGGGGAACTTCGTTTCGTAACCCCCTCCAACTTTTTTTTTGAGGGGGGGGGAGCCTGATTTTTGCCGTTGCAGTGCACCACACGTGCGGGATGAGGGGGGGAGCCTGATTTTTGCCATTGCAGTGCACAACATGTGTGGGCCACGTGTACAATGCGCAGTGCGGCGCGTGTGCGCGGCTGGTGCGCACGCGATGCACCGCAAGTCTGGATTAATTAGACTCATCCGGGTGGAAAAGGGGTTGTTATGGTGACAATTTACAACACAACCTCCCCCACACCCACCCACCCAACGACACACAGCGCATGCGTGTGTGCACGAGTACCCTTGTGTGCACCTGGCCCACAGGGAAGGGTCAAATTGGACCTGCCGGTGGTTTTGACTAACCCTCGAGGCAATCGACTATCAGGCAGTATCAGGCGTATAAGTGTAATCTTGGGGCCGACAATTGATTGACTCCAGGGGAGTTCAAGGTGAATTAACATCAGCCTCTCCCAGTTTGGGAATGAACAGGTAGGTTGTTGCTACCGCCTTCACCAAAATATAACAGACAGTCATTGTTGCTGTATCTAGACTGAAATTTGCCCCAAACACAGCTATAATAACCTGTACGACGTGTACGTTCTATTCATGTGAAGACTGTAACTATGCCAGATGGATCACAGTCATCGGACAGTCTCCCTCCCTTTCGAAGGTAACAGTGGGTTTTGGAGATGTCCCTACACCATGGGGAACGGGGCGGCGGTCCTATATAACTGTGCATATTCGAGGGTTTGTTTTTCCCCTCCACTTTTTCTGCACTTTCATGTGCTATATTGGTTGGTGCTGATGTCCATTCATCTCATGACCTTCTTTCTTGTTATATGAAAAACCGTTCAAAAACGAGCATTCCATTGAGAAAAAAGGGTATAATTACTATAATACTATAAAATAATAAAATTACTATAAAATAATAAAAGTACTATAAAATTATAAATTGACCACGCAAGTACGTTACAGGGCATTCCACCTCCATATGCATTACCAGCTGGGCCGCTTGGGTCACCTAGGTTGCCCGGGCGGCCCTGCCAGGCAAGGGCCAGGGGAAAAAAAAGAAAAAAAAAAGTTAAAAACAAAAACAGGAAATCCAAAAACGAAAAAACTGTGTTGTGCAGAAAAATAAACTGGACAACTTTTGCCTCGGGGTCACATTGAAATTCTTCGCCAATTTGCCAAATAACAAACTAAAATCATTTTTTTTTATTTTTTTTTTGGGTCTGGTCGGGCAAGTGGTCCCGGGCCAGTCTGGTAACGCAGACCTTCACCAAATCAATACTAAATAATAAATATCAATTAAAAAACCATTGGAAAAGAACAACACACCTTTCTGCCCGATGGGATCAGTCACCTTTCGACTGACATGTGGTATGTCCACTCTCTTCCCTGGGTGCAGAATCTCTTGACCGTACAGGTACGAGGCGGGAACATGCTTTTTGGATCGTATTCTCCGGGAGTTGCACCAATACGGAAGACCTGCGGCAATGGAACACAGAAATCACAGATCCGCAGAGTTGATCCAGAGATGGATATAATTTAGGATTATTCAGGCTTGTTTATTACAAATAAGGAAGTCCACAGGGGTCGGCACCCACTAGAGACGTTTTACAACGACTTGCTGGCATTTTCAATCACGTGCGGCCTTTCGTGGTGACACATACAGTCCGTGGATGGAGATTGATATCCACGCCCCGCCTGTTCGTGAAACTCCACATGAAGTTTCGTGGCCGGGGTGTCAACCAATCCGTGTTCTAGAAAGGCTTACTTCTTTCTTTTGATTTTTTAATTCCAATTCCACTGTTCATCCGCTGGATTTTTGCCCATTTTTTAGGTTGGGGGTGATTTTGCAACGTCTCCTTGTTGCTTCCTCGTTGCTCTCAGCCTCCATGAGATCGGCAAAACAGAAAAATGACCTTCAGAGGACGCAGCCCATTGGCTGACTGAAGAACCCATCCTCAAAAACAGGCGACGAATTCGCTGCCTCCTTGCCCATTGGCTGACAGGAGAAGCCAGAAAATGTTTTTGCTTTCTTTAATTCACAGGAAAAAGAGGTTTTAAAATCTGGAAAAATCAGGAAAATCATTTTTTTAATGCAAAAACAGAGCCACACATCTTGTACAACACTGCTAGTGGGTCCCCCCACCCCAGGAAGTGAAATACATGCCCTCATAAAGACAAGAAAGGAAAAGAATTAATAATTTATTCAATTTAAAAAATGATTTCTTTTCTTTTTTGGGAAAAAACAGGTGCGAGGAACGAGCCCTCACAGGGCCCTAGCAGACATCACATGTTCTGGGCAAAGGCCCCCAGCAAGCCGAGTGCCCGCCCTAACTGAAGGCGGGACTGAATATTCGTCAGAGGCCAAAATTTTGACACTTCCATATGTGGGTATTCAGGCTCTTGCAGCACACCAGTTGGTTGAGTAGACGCGTGAGCCTCACTAAGCTGTGTCGTACAGTTGGCCCAGGCCTTGACAGTTGCGCCTGGGCACATACACACAAAGCAGGGCCGATACATTGAGAAGCAGGCCATCGGCCTATGCAAAATCAGTACTGTCGACGCACCTACCGGAGAGCCCTGCACAGATGCAGCAAACAGCCCAAGTCCGGAGACTCAGGCCGTGACCAACTGTAAAGGGGCCCAGGCCCTCAACTGTAGTCTCAGGCCTGGGCGCAGGGACTGAGGCCCAACCGGAAGCTACTGGAAGCTTCCAGTCAGGCCACACACAGCATCCAGGAGACTGCCACTTCCATATAGGAAGTGAGTTAGCCCAGGCCAGGCATTCGGGCCTGCGCAGGCAATGCGGTCACACTGCTGCGCTAATGGTCAGGGCACTGGCGGGGCGCGTAGAGGTGAAGTGGGGCGCTGCAGGGCAGTGGGGCGCGGGCAGCCATAGCCGGGCTGTGTAATGACCCGCCCAAAACACAGACTGAGAACACTGCTGATTTCTGGGATTTGTCAATGGAATGAATGCCTTGTTGTGATTCCCGCATTCTGCTGTGGTCCCAAGTCTGTGTGTGTGCGTGCCTGCTGGTTTGCAT